CCCCCCGGAAGGTTCCAGAAAAAGGGCGCCTCACCAAGGCCGAAAGTGAGTCCATCCCCAGCCTCAGCCTTCTCTATACAAGTAGTGTGCCCAGCCTTGGCCCTTTGAAGACCAGGGGTGACTTCAACTCCCAGAATTCCCCTGCCAGCACATGCTGCCTGGGGGATTCTGGGAGTTGAAGTCCACCGGTCTTCAAGGGGCCAAGGTTGGATATCCCTGCTCTAAACCCACCCAGAAAATGGTTCCTGTCAGAATCAAACATCTGCCTTGGAGGTTCTCATAGAGAATCTCCTGTCAGGGTTCCAATAGTAATTAAATCCTGAGCCTCAAATCTAATTTAATCCTGAGCCTCAAGCCAAGTGTTGTGCCCCTGTCAGAATCTGATTCAGAGGGGGAGGCTGAGCAGCTGACAGGGTGGGAGAGTGTGGCTCCATTGGCTGTGGAGGAAACTGGGGAAGGGCACAGTCCCGCTGGGCAGAGCAAGAGAGAGGTAAAACAAGTGAGAGGGAGTTCGGAGGAAGATCCAGGCCCACCCCCTCTTCATCCTAGGGCATCCAGGGAGGAATGGAGAAGGGAGCAACGTGGGTGGCATGGCTTACGGGGGAGGAAAAGGCCCTGATTCCCTTCATTAGCTGCAGTTGGGAACACAGTGTTTAAAAAGGGAAGCTGCGCGCAGCAAGATGTTGGGAGCAAATCGTAAATTTATCTGGTCTCCTTGTGGCTTATCTGGGTTCTTGGCATCTTCCCAATTGTGCGTGTGTTTTGTTGACCTTTCAAGTCTGCAATTCCTTCTCCTGCCCTGTCCAGTTATTTACTGCAGCATGGTTTGTGTGGATTTTAAGTTACAGTTTGTGTGTCCGTTGTTTTCGGACTGAATTTCCTCCACTTAACGACTGTTCTTGGGAGAGTTTTTTTTTTTCTCCAGCCAAAGGTAACCTGGACATTGGGGGCAAAGTTGGAGGTATTAAAGGGACTCTTCTTACTTATGTGACTGTGTTGCCTGTGTGCCACGCCCCGTTGGGTCATCACACCAAGCTTCCAAAGAAATCCAGTCATTTATTAGGAGCCTCATGCTGGAACAGACGAGGGGGAGCCAACTCTGACCTCGGTTAATTTGCATTTTGCCTCTGACCCTGTTTCCCTCTCCCTCCAAGAGGAGTCATCAGTCACATTCCCCAAAGAAGCCATTTTGAGTGGGTTGTAAAAGTCACTCCCTCCGGCCGCTGTGGGTTTCTGTGGAGACGACCTTGGCGTTATCGGTTGGAAGGTGCTTTGTTCTGACTGAGACGCCAGCTCTTGGATGCAGCTGTGATGACGTTCGCTTTCCCGTCCCCGTTGCCTGTAGCAACTCGAGAGCCGTTCAAGAATGCTTTGGGAGTTGACCTCTCCCTTTTGTTATTCTACTGAAGGCCTCTGAGCTTCCACGCCCCAGCCATGACTGGTTGTCTCTGGTCAGAACTTCCGGAGTTTGAACCTCTAATGCAGGGGTTTCAAACTCGAGAGCTTGAAGACTGGTGGACTTCAACTCCCAGAATTCCTCCTCCTCCTCCTCCTCCTCCTCCTCCAGTCATGTTAGCTCAGGAATTCTGGGAGTTGAAGTCCACCAGTCTTCAAGCCTCGAGTTTGAAGTCGCCTGCTCTAAAGTTTCAAGCAATGTGGAGATGACCAGGATGCTTCTGTCCACTAGGAACTTCTCAAACCATCCAGGGCCCCATGAAAAGCTCTCTGAGGCACATAGGAGAAGCACATCTGCTTGGAACGGCCCCTGACCCATTCTTCCATGTGGGGAGGGTGTGTGAACTCTTTGGTGACATACACGTCCTTCCCGGCCTTGTATCACGTGTTTTGCAAGTGCCCTGTGTGCTTCTGTACTGGAAACAAATTCCTTGTGTGGCTACAAAGAATGCTTTCTTAGTCTCTTCTATTCTATTCTATTCTGTTCTATTCTGTTCCATTCTGCTTTCCATATTGTTTTTTTCTATTCTGTTCTAGTGTTTTCCATATTCTACTCTGTTGTTTTTTTATATTCTATTTTGTTCTGTTTTCTATATCCTATTCTGTTTTCTATATTTTATTCCATTCTGTTCTGTTTTCTAATCTGCTCTGTGCTATTCTGTTTTCTATACTCCATTCCATACTGTTCTGTTTTCTATATTCCATTCTGTTCTATTCTCTTTCCTATATTTTATACTGTTCTATTCTGTTCTTTATTCTATATTCCATTCTATTCTGATTTTTTTTTTTAAATTCTGTTGCGTTTTCTCTATTCTGTTTTTTTCTGTTCTGTGCTCTGTATTCTATTCTGTTCTCTTTTCTCTCTTGAGTAGCCTAGTCTACTCAAGTCACCTAGTCTGCTCTATTCTGCTTTTCTAAGGTTATTCCTCCCTCCCCTTCCTATTTTCCAGAGTACATCTATGGCTCGCTGGCCACGCTGCTGGTGTGCGTGTGCGCCCTTTTCGGCATTGTGGTTCTTCTCTGCACTGCTTGCATCAGTGCCTACCAGTATGTCATCCAAACCTTTGTCAGCCTGGCTGTCGGATCGCTCACTGGGGACGCCCTGCTGCACCTCATCCCCAAGGTCCGTGCCGGGGGGACGGGGACGGGGGGCTTGAAAAGGGGGCCCTAAAGGTTTGGGGGAAGGTCACAGGTTGGCCACTCCCTGAGGTGCTGGTTTAAGTTGGGGTCTGCAGCCTGGTTGGTTCCTTCCATCCGAAGGAACCCAGCTCCCAAAACACGACAGATGTGAACTCAAAAGATTCCTTTTTAATTTTCATCTCCATCCATTCATCTCCACCCCCTGCCTTTTATCCCCAGAGCTAGGGTAGGGCTTCGCTAGCAGCGGTGGCTCTTCCGTCCCGAGGACCGGCTCATAGATTTCCACTGCTCTCCTCTCCCTTCTGGGCATCTGCGCATCAGGCACTGGGCCCAGCTGTTCCTCCTCTTCCTCATCAGCCCCCTCCAGACCTAGGGGCTGTTGACTCTCCATCTGAGGGCTGATGGATGGCCCAGGCTCTGCCTCCACCTGTCTCTCTCTGCCAGCTCCATCCCCTCTTCTTCCCCTTCAGAGCTCTCAGGTTGCCTTGAGGCTGACTCCCACACCTCCTCCTCTTCCTCCTCCTCCTCTTCTTCCTCTGATTCGGTGGCCGACAGGCCACAACACAAAAATGTAATGGAAGTGTAACTCGTAGCTCGGCCAGATCTCACCTCTCATGATGGGCAGGCTCCATTGCAGGGGTTTCTCAGGGATTTGGGCCGTGAAGAAATGTGACGGAAGTGTAACTAGTAGCTCCACCAAACCAGGCCTTCTCGTGATGTACTGTTGCTACGAAAGACCCTTCTCTCTTTCCATCCTGGGTTGCAATCACCCTCGGGCCCCCGCTCTCGTTTCAGTTCTTGGGCCTCCATTCTCACTCGCACAGTGAGGGCGATGCTCACCTCCACCACGGACCCGAAGCCCAGGACAACCTCTGGAAACTCCTGGCCGTGCTAGGGGGTCTCTACCTCTTCTTCCTCCTGGAGAAACTCTTCACCCTCCTGGGACACTCGCACGACGAGGTGAGTCGGGCGGCTTATTCTGAGTTTCCCCCGCGACCACAGAATCGGGGACGAGGGGTGGACCAGAAGAGGGGAACGCTTACCAAGGAGACCCCCCCCAACCTAGAATTAAGGAGGACGTTCTGGACAGGGAGAACAAATGGTCAGCGGAGCAGCTTTCCGTTGAAGGGGTGGGCGCTCCACCACCGGAGGTCTTCGAGAAGAGATTGGACAGTCATGTGTCCAGAATGGTCGAGGGCAGGGGTCTCCAAACTTGGCAGCTTGAAGACTTGTGGACTTCAACTCCCAGAATTCCTCCTCCTCCAATCGTGTTAGCTCAGGAATTCTGGGAGGTGAAGTCCATAAGTCTTAAACTTGCCAAGTTTGAAGACCTTTGGTCTAGGGTCTCCTACTTGGGGGAGCGGTTAGAATAGAATAGGAATAGGAATAGGAATGGAATGGAATGGAATGGAATAGAATAGAATAATAATAGAAATAGAAAAGAATAGAAATAGAATTGAATTGAATTGAATTGAATTAGAATAGCATAGGATAGGATAGAATAGAGTAGAAACAGAAATAGAAACAGAAATAGAAATAGAATAGAATAGAATAGAATAGAATAGAATAGAAATAGGAAATAATAGAATAGGATAGAATAAAAATAGAAATAGAAAAGAATAGCAATAGAAAAGAATAGCAATAGAAAAGAATAGCAATAGAATAAAATAGAATAGAAATAGAATGGAATAGGAATAGAATAGAATAGAATAGAATAGGATAGAATAGAATTAGAATAACCGAGTTGGAAGGGACCTTGGAGGTCTTCTAGTCCAACCCCCTGCTTAGGCAGAAAACCCTATACCATCAGACAAATTGGTTCTCCAATCTCTTCTTAAGAACTTCCCGTGATGGAACATTCACAATTTCTGGAGGCAAGTTGTGGTACTGATTAATTGTTCTCTAGGATAGCCGTTTGTCCGAAATAATATATATAGGGCAAGACTTGTGGACTTCAACTCCCAGAATTCCCCAGCCAGCATTCCCCAGCAATTCTGGGGGCTGAAGTCCACAAGTCTTAAAGTTCCCAAGCTTAGATACCTGAAGTTACCTGAAGTTCTCTGAGTGCCTCTGCTGCCATCTAGTGGCCCTCCAAATATTGGCAACTGAGTCTAATAATCCAATGACTAAAACTCCTCTCTCTGTTGGTCACTTTCAACTCACCCCCAATGGTGCAGTGGTGAGATTCAAAAAATTTTTACTACCGGGTTCTGTGGGCTTGGCTTGGTGGGCGTGGCAGGGGAAGGATACTGTAAAATCTCCAATCAGAGGTGGGATTTGCTGGTTCTCCCAACTACTCAAAATTTCCGCTACCGGTTTCTCCAGAACTGGTCAGAACCGGCTGAATACCGCCTCTGCAACTGTGCATCATATGTCGGAGTGTTTGCAGCGTGACTCCGATTGTGAGACAACCCAGGAGCAAAACACATCACGCACAAAGGCTTTGTCTTTTAACAGTGGTTTATATACAAGACAAACATACATGTTAGGCAAATACCAGGCAAGCAATCAATCTTCATTACTCTGCACGGAGAACTACAGTGGAGATAGAACACAAGGAGAGAGAGAGAGAGAGAGAGAGAGACGCCCTCACATGGCCTTCCTTGTATAGATAGCTTCTTAAAGCGGCAGTACTCATCCTCAGTTCATCATTGTGGCTTACATCAATTCATAAAACATTCCTATGCCTGTTTTAGTAGTTGCTTTAAAAAAAGGGTGGAGGGAGAAAGAAAACCTGAAAGAGGAGTGCAGCAAAGCGAAAATACATTCCAACTCTTTATCTTTAACAGATTGTAACTAAACTACCAGAGCTTTTTCCCGTGAATATATTATTTAATTGGAGAACATGAATGATGACACCCAGCCCATGAACGTGCTCAGTTGGAGAATCTGATTTATGACACACCTGGGAGGGGAGGGGGGGAACAGGGTCACTGGGGACTGTAAATTACGTTGGCCAGAGTTGGCTTCATACAGGGCAATGCCAGTATGTCGCCTTCAGGGGTGAGATTTAAATTTCTTAAAAACCGGTTCTGTGGTAGTGGCCTAATTTGTGGGTGTGGCTTGGTGGTCATGTGACTGGCTGGGCGTGGCTTGTATGTAAATATTGTAAATATTTATGTCAATATTGAATTTTTTTATTAAAAAAAAGAGCAACTTTTACCCCAAAATGAGGCAAAGCTGGCAGGCAGATTGAGTTGATCGCAGAATCACAGATTCATTCAGAAATCTATCTATCTGCCATTGGCTAGCTCAGTCTGTCACATAAAATTTGCTTGCAAGCAAACTCACAAAATTAACTCC